CGCGGGGGGGTGCCCGGGTTGAGCCGCTGTGCCCCGCCGAGCCGACCGGTTCCCGCTCCTTCGGGGCTTCATATGTTTTCCCATCTCGGCACCCAGTCCCACGGCATGAGAGACGGAGTTGGTCCTGAATAGCTTCTGTTATCAATGCACTCCCGCTATGGGGTGTGGGCTACAGCTATGCTTTGGTGACCCGTGTTGCTTGTTTTGCTCAGAAATCCTGTATGCAATATTTATTTTTGTACGTTGAGTAGGATCTAAAGTGTTTAAAAGATTCTTAATACTGGTATTGCCGGGCAAAATGGTTGTTTTGCAAGCGGGTAAGCCTGTAATTTATAAATTATCATAATATATATATATATAAATGTTTTGTATCACTCTTGAAAAAGAATCAGCTTTGTTTTGCAAGGTCAGTAATATAAGCAGGGTGTCCAGGGACTTGCTTTAGAGTTAAACCGAACTTTAACCAAAACCAACAAAAAACCAAACAACAAAAACTGTTGTAGTCATAATTTGTTCTTTTATGAGCCGATTTTTGGCTACTCGTGCTCCAAGGTAACTTGTGCTTTATCACGTTACAGTACGCTTACGCTCTGAAGTGCTTTTTTGGGGAGTTACACAGCAAAGGCAGATGAAGGAAGCCAATAATGGAATCCGAACGCTTCGTAAACACCTGCGGTGCTTTGAAAGGGCTCCTGGAGGGCACCAGCAAGCCCCCATCTCGCAGCATCTGTCTCGGATACCATTGATAGCAGGAAAGCTGCAGATGTGAGCACGCAAGGTGCTGTCTGGAGTTCTGTGGCCCCCGAAGAGTGAGCTCTGCTTGCGCTCCAGGGCCTTTCACCGGAGGCGAGGGAGAAGGAGAACCGAGAGCAGCGCTGCTCCCAATCTAGTTTCAGGCTATTTCTCTGGGGGAGGAAAGTACGCCAGAAGCCGTGGTGTGTTTTGCCAAGCGACGTTTTTTTTTAAAATGTGTATAAACTTCATTGTGAAAACTGAACTTCAAACACGCTCTTTCTTTCCTCTTAACTTTTTATGTAAAACTAGCGTTTCTGAGGAGAGGCTAACTGACCTCACTCACAGACAAACCTTGCATTTTGCTGTCCTTTCCATTCTCCTGTGACTTGCTCACAGATCACTAGTATTAAGAGGGTAGTTGCAATCTGTTATTTTATGCAAGTTAGACCTATCTCTATCGGACCCCAAAAAGAAAGAAAATGGACCTTCCAGTCTTTCTAAAGCCTGTCCCCCTCCTCGGCAAACTCCCTCCAGCGGAGCTGTGCAAGGTACGGGTTGGGGGAGAATGACGTGGAGGGGGCTACGACTTCTCCGACGGTCATTTAAGTATCTATTTATTATTATTATCCTGCAAAACAGAGGCGTTTAAGTCTGGAAGGACCTGGCACAGGGGTTCAGCTATTCTTCTGAGGCAGGCGTTAAACACCGGCCAAGTGTGGGAGCCCAGCCGGCTCCAGGACACGGGCTTTGAGAAGGCCTGGTGGAAAGCCAGCGCGACGCAGGAATGTGGGACGTCTGGGATTACTTGTCAACATCTTGCTCACCTGTTCAACCATGGTGGGCTCGAGGCTCGGGCCTCTTGCATCTGGCCAGCAGTAGAGCCTCTTGGGGAGCTCCCCACCGTCCCAGGGCTCACGTGCTGATGGTGGCAGCTCCGCTGGGTGTTTTAAGGACTTATATTTTTATTTTGGGCCTTGCTAAACAAACACACGCATTTAAGATACCTAACCAGCAGGACGAAGCAGATGTTACCTCCTGGCTGCCTTGGTCAACTGCTTACAGTCAGGTTTCTGCCGGTGTCTTCTGGCTTCTCTGTATGTCATCTCCATTTCCCACATGTTTTGCAGTTTCGTTGTTACTTAACCCAACTCACCGAGCCTAACCCGTGATATGGTAACTCTGAGCTAGACGTGTAAGCGTGTGGGCCGAGCTGCAGGAATGGCCACATTTCTTCACAAGGAGATGCTGGACCGCTTTAGGACCCCTTCCACCACGTGGAAGGTGTGGTACCTGCAGCGAGGTGACATGGGCTCCGGTGCTAGCTGGCTCCTTGTGTGCACGGACAGACCGGACCTTCACGCTGTATTCAGGTGGACCTCAGGCAGAGCAGGCACCTTTTTGGTCTCTCTACCCACGAGGACCGGGATGCCACTGAATTTAGTTATCGACGTTGCATTAAGCCAAGCCAGTTAATTACACCCCTTTGGAGCCAGCGGAGGAAGAAGTGGCATTTCAGGGACTGATTCATTGCACGCTAAGGTGGGTGGTTAAATTAAGTCTGCTCAGGCACACGACGGACGTGCCTATGAGAAGAAGTAGCTTGGATAGGAACACCACCCCCAAGCTAGGGTATCCGATCGCCGGCCACACGGCTACGCCGAGACCCTGCCCTGGAAGCACCCGTGCCGTCTGACGCACGTCGTCACCAGCTTTGCTCTGGCCGTGCCCCCGCTGCGGACGGAGCAAGTCCCCGTTCCTGCTGCGCTTGTGCCCCTCAGGAGGGACCTGCGCCCCGGTCGGCTGAGCCGCTGTCGCTCTCCGGCTGCGGAACCGGGATTATGGACATGGAGCTTAAAAGAGGCAGCGAAGGCGGGCGAGAGCAAGCAGGGAACCCGCACGGGAACCGCCTGCACCAGCGGGTCGCTCTGCCCGCCGAGCTGTTGGGGTTTTTTAAAGCACGTAAATGCCGAGCTGCACCGTATTTATTTTTAGGCTCTATATAAGTGATATTCCGTTTAAATATCTAATTTTTTAACTCTTGTAAATGCTGTACATTTGTATAAATAAATGTTTTAAATATTCAGACGATGTGTGAGGTGTCTGCTAACAACGTACGATTTCCATCGCCGTCCCCGCTTCCCGGTGCACTGCCACCCTGCCGTCTGCTCCCCTCTCCTCTTTTCCTTTCTCTGACATCCTATTAGGGGGAAAAAAAAAAAAAAGGCTAAAAAAGAGAGAGAAGAGCTGTATTTCTGTATTTTGAGCATTTTGTTTTAACTCCCCCCATAGCTATGGAAGCTTCCTCATGGTTTCCTCTTATTGAGCTCCCACGGTTATTTGTTGCAAATAATTTTATTTAAATGCCCAATGTAAAATAAGTTAAAATAAATCTGAGGAGGTTCCTGTTTAGTTTGTGACCCCCAGATCTTCCTTTCCCTCACCTGCTCTGGGAAAGCTTTACACTTTTCCATAATTGTGCTGCCACACTAATTTAGTCCCAGAGCATTATGGAGGCTTTCATGCAGTTATTTCTAATTTCCACTCCTGAAACCAACACTTACTTGGATGTAAACAACTTCATTTACCTAATGAAAGTACTCAGACAAAGTTATTTATGAGTCATGTGAAGAAAGTATAACCCAAAGTTTTTAAAAAAAAAAGTCATAGAGAGATACATAAGTTAAAGATATAAATTACTATAGCTGTATTATGGGGTATTCTGACAATCCTCTTTTTTTGCCTCATGCTAGGTATATAGAAGTGAATTTACTTGTTTTTTCTTGAGTTCTGATAATGGCTGTTCCAGCTCAGCGACCACTTCAGCAGTGGGAAAGGCTGAGCCGCGGCTCCCCTGGCCCCAGAAGGTGAAGATACAACAAAGGCAAAAAATAATAAATCAATGTTTGCAAGGGTGTAACAACAGGAAAACAGTATTGACTGAAGAGTACGCTGTGTGATTAATGCTACGTGCCTAAAGCAGCAAGAGGAGCCTTTGAGGGAGGTTAGTGTCAAGATGTCAATGGTTCTCACAGAATCACAGAATCACTAAGGTTGGAAAAGACCTCCAAGATCATCAAGTCCAACCATCAACCCAACACCCCCGTGCCCCCTCAACCATGTCCCAAAGTGCCACATCCATGCATTTTTTGAACGCCTCCGGTGATGGTGACTCCACCACCTCCCTGGGCAGCCTGTGCCAATGCTTGACCCCTCTCTCAGTAAAGACGTTTTTGCTAATATCCTGCTCCCCTGGCGCAACTGGCGGCCATTCCCTCTTGTTCTATCACTGGTTACTTGGGAGAAGAGACCAACCCCCA